GACAGCTATGAAAATGGACAGCTTATCGGTGTTAACGATGAAGTCCTCAAACTATTGATCAAAGTATGTTTTCATGAGTTTTACACATAAATTCATTATTAATTTTGTTGACAGTTTATGGCTCGTGAGCCACAAGTGAGCGATAACTGTGTTCTTCGGCCGTATTTGAGTGAAGACCAGAGGGAGGAAAGGGATAAAGAAGAACTGAGTTATTCATTGAGGAGAAAGTATGGCAATTATCGCAATCCATGGGTACAGACGCGTCAAAGAGTGCACTTATGGGAGAAGATATATAAGTACCACAAAGATGCCACTCCTATACCTCACATCAGAACCCGACCCAAAATCACGTTCAAATATCCGCCGTTTTTTAAACGATAATTAAATTTTTATTGATTAAAACTTAATTTTATGTAAAATTGAATTATTTATAGAATTATAGATTAATAATTGAGTAATAAATAAGTTAATACACTATTAAGTGAATCGAGTATTTATACAGCAATTAAAACAAATTTCCAATATTTAATGGTTTAACACATATATTAATGTCCGCTAATAGTTATCAAATCGATTAGTGTTTCCAAAGCGCTGCGAATCTGCTGTCTATCAAACGATGAACAGCACAATACCTGCCACTTGTGTCCATTCATTATATTCTGGAAATAGAGATCCATTTCCTGCTCTGTCTTAGCACCGGATACGTCGCTATGAGTGCCCAAAACGAGACACGGCTTACCTTTCAATCGGATGTTCGACAGAACAGTTTTGAGCGTTTCTTTGGCGAGTCTCAGCTCATCCTCTTTGGCCGACGAGTTGACCACAAAAAGGATAGCATTCTTGTCAGCGAAATAATAGTCCCAAAAATTCTGTACTCTTCCGGAACCGCCCAACTCTTTAATGCTGACGACTGTGCCTTTGATCGGAAGGGTCTTTATGTTGAAGCCATTGGTGGGCTCGATGTTAGCCGTCGTCTCTCCCACCAGATGTGCCAATAGAGTACTTTTTCCCGAACCACTCAAACCCAGACATAATATATTGTATTGGTCTTTGACGACAAGCATCAGTGGTTTGTGACATAACATGAATTGCCAGCACTTGTAGTCGAGTCAAGAATTACAAAAGAAATACAAATGCATTATAAATATGTGATATTCGCTAACAGTAATGAAATGCATGTATAAATAATGAGAATATTATATTTATGTATCAGAATAATAGGAATAATAAAATGATAAAATTACTCGTCGTATTCCCATTCGACACAATGAAAGACTACAATCGATGGTCTCTCTCACGCCCGGCATTCTTCCCAATCCTCTCCCAATTGTTGACTATTTATTCAAATATTCTTCACAATCGCCTCCTTTTTTGTCATTTATGCAGAATTTGCATCCATTTAAACGAATCACTCTTCAATTTATACAACATTTATTCAATTCTGTATTGCATTCAACTCTAACCAACATTTAAATTGAATTAAATAATCCATTCAAACAAATTATTATATGAATTGCTTGAATCATATAATAATTAAAATATATTTAACCTCAAAGAGATTTACTATCGTATAAATGCTATAAACCATCGATTGTATGAATATATGAGTGAATAAATGGGTTGTAATGAATGAAACTCAGACGCAAGTTAGTAAGGGAGTGTAGAATAAGAGTTTTGTGACATAAAATTCAGAATAATGAATTATAAATTACTTTTAAACGGTTTATAAATAAGTTTATTTTTTGTGGTGTTTTATAATAACAAAAAATTCAATATTAGAAATAAAAGTTAAGCATTTAATTAAGAGTCAAATGATTGATTGAATATTTAACATAAAATTCTTTAGTCATAGAATTGTTTACAAAATTTTAATTTATTAATACTAACTTAAATTGCTTAAAGTTTTTAAAGAGTATTTAATTTAATTTTTAAAAATATACTTTTTATAACATTTATGAATATTTCCTATAGTAATGAAGTGGAAAGAAATGGACATAATATCGAAGTTTATTTGTTAAAAAATATAAAGAAATTGCATATAATTTTAACAATAATTGAATTTTCATTAAATTTAACATTTATTTTGAAACTGTATTATTAAATTAATTTCAATAATATAATTAATAAAAACCAAGTCTAATAAATAAACCATATTTATCAACTTTCTAAAATTTACATCATAATCTAAAATTAACAAAAAATGTTGCTAAATTAAAACAAATATTGATTAATATTTTTAAACTAACTTATTTATAGTAACATTAAATATTAATTTATTCCGAAATAAATGTTAGAATAGTGAAGTTGGTGATTTAAGTGAAAGTAATTGAACATAGTATTTGGTAATTCAACGTGATTTATGTTGAAATAAAGTTTAATATGATATAAATTGGGCGTTTTATTTGAGTGAAAGGTTTCTGTAACAAGTTTATGTTGGTCATTCTAATCTAACTGATTATTTTATCATTTTCATTTTATTTTCAGATATAACATTTTAAATTGTAAAATGAACGATCAAATTTTTATTGCGAATGCAGTATATTCAGCAAAATGGCATTTAAAAAAATAAAAACAAAAATATCATGCATTCACACAGAACTGATGGACAGATGTGAACAAAATTATATACCCCATGATAAAACCTGATTTATTTGCAATTTCTATGTATAGTCATCACTCGTTATAATCAACACTTTTTAACATGCTAAAATATAAAAATAGTGGTTGGTAATATAATGTTATTAATTTATTATTATATAATTAATATTTAAAAATAAAATGTAATTATTTAGCAAACCTTATATATATTTCTTAATTTTTACAAATTTTATTAAATGTTCAAATAAATTATTTGTCAGAATTAGTAAAGAATTGTGAAGAGTTTAATGGAGAAATCTATTAATTTATTCAGCAATTAAATAATTATTACAGAAATTGTTACTTAATAAGTATATTACTGTGTAATATTAATGGTGTCGTATATTTTAACCGTTAGTTCAACCATGTTTATACATTTTACCCATAATTTCTATTAAAATATAAATCAAAATAAACAGGATATTTAATATAATGAAATACAATTGAATGTATATTAAAATTTAACAATTGTGACCATTATATTAGTTAATCTCAACTCTAATACATAATGCTTTCATGACTGAAATGATAGTCAAGTGATTAGAATAGCAGTGCTATACTAAGAATTTTCTTACTCGAGGCTGAGTTTGAACTCGAGTTAATCCTTTTGGAGACTGAAGTTGAGCTCAAACTCGAGATTCTATTCAAAAAGAGTTTTGAACTGGATCTCGAAAAG